TTTTTTTTTTTTTTTTTTTTTTTTTTTCCCTCTTTCTTGTCTCTCGTTCATGGCCGGTTGCAGTTGTGAACAAACCCTTCATCTCCGTTCGCTATTCAATGTTTCAGGGCCCATCTTCAGTTTCAAACATTTTTCTCTTGATTTTCTTCTGATTTCACTGTCATCCATCTTTGTCTTCTTGCATTCATTATGGCATCCATCTTTATGTCATTCTTTTTCCACGAGACTTTTTTTTACATGGGCTCATTGGTTCTGTTGGCGATGCTAAATTGGGGTCCTTCTTTTATTCGACTTCCTTGGGAGGTGCATGTCATTCAATCTTGAAGTGCAAGCATCCTTGCCACTTTGAGTATGCAGATCTACATGCAAACAGTATGAGCTGCTCACAGACAATTCAATCTACACTCCGCGTCATCAATTTGATGGCGTTTACTCAGTAACCATTCCGAGCCCTTGTAGTTTGTCACGTGTATGAGATAATAGTATGAAAATCTGTTGTCAGTACAGCAGCTGTAACACTCAATGATAGCTTATAAATAACCAGTAGCATTGCTCGTCTTGGGAAATGAAGCCCTTGCTCCCTTGGAGAATGCCAAACACTCTGGCAGCGATACTCCGTAGTAGTAGTATTGTGACGATATATATCCAACCACGGAGAGCCCCACACATATGCCCATCCAAATGCGAAACCGAAAATTCCCCAAAATCCCAAACTGAATCCAGACAACATATCCTATTAGCAACCAATGTAAGAAATAAATCACAAAATCCACACTTTATTTGAAAATGGCACCTCCTCGACCCGGCAACACATCCAAAAAACCCAACAAAAAGGAGAGTAGTAAAAAGAAGCCGTCCTCTTCCTCGCAAGCACAACCACGCCGAAACACCAGCAAAACCGATCCCAACCAACATCATGCCGCTCATAAAAATCATGAACTCAACATCTCCACCACCATCCCGCTGACTCTCCAACAACTTCTTCTTAATGTGTTCAAAACCGCCTTGCTCACAAACGGGCACAACTACCTCCATAACCGGGATGATGCTACTACGACTGAAGCCACTGCTGATTCAGCAGAGCAACAGCAGCAGGAGCAACTAGACATCAAAAGTCTGATCCAGACGATCAAAACCCATTTATATAATCGGGACTTTGATTCCGCTTTCACAGATGCGAATGAGGACTTACTTCGTGCTTATGCGTTGCGGTGGAGCTCGTCCAGGGCGTTGGGGTATGCGGGCATCTTTCGTGCGCTGTTGAAGGAGGTAATTAAGCCTGTTTCTAAAGATGATGATGATGATGATGCTGCTGCTGCTGCTGCTGCTTCTACTAAGAATGTCGTGTGTATTGGGGGTGGCGCGGGCGCTGAGATTGTTGCGCTTGCGGCTGCTTGGAGGGATTTTCTGGATGGTGCTGAACTACGATCTTCTTCTTCTGCAAGTGATGAGGGCCAGATTGCGGATGCTGTTAAGGCGGTATCCTTGGATGATGGGAAAGAAGAAGAAGAAAAACAGCTAACTTCTACTTCTACTTCTGCTACTGCTACTTCCACCTACCCCGGCCTCTCCGTCACGGCGGTAGACATCGCAGACTGGTCAAAGGTAGTTGAGCGCTTATCCACCGCTATTCGATCTCCCACAGTGACTGGGTCGAAGTCGCATCCTGCTCCGTTGTTACCCTCCAGTGGAGACGAAGAAAAGAAGGAAAAGAAGACACCCGGTTTCAACGTCCAATTCGAGAAGTTAGATGTCCTCTCTGCGGGGGAGAAGGAACTTCAGGGGTTGTTCTCACGACAGGGCGCGGAATCATGCTCTACTGCCTTGGTGACGTTGATGTTTACTTTGAATGAACTGTTCTCGACGTCGATGGCCAAGGCGACGGGGTTTCTGCTACGTATGACGGATCTGTTGCAGCCTGGGACGGTGCTGCTTGTGGTGGATAGTCCTGGGAGTTATTCGACGTTGAAGTTGGGGAAGGGTGGCGATGGCGAAGTGCGGGAGAGACAGTATCCGATGAAGTTCTTGTTGGATCATACGCTGCTTTCGGTGGCGGAGGGGAAGTGGGAACGGTTGCTGTCGCAGGATTCGAGGTGGTGGAGGAGGGATGCGGCTAGGTTGAAGTATGATGTTGGGGAGGGGGCTGGGTTGGAGGATATGAGGTTTCAGGTTCATGTTTATCGGAGGGTTGGAGAGTAGGGTTTTATGTCTTGTTTGTATGGTTGCATTTGGTTTATGGCTTATAATGATACCTACCATCGTGGAATCTATGTCGTGAAGTCCGTTACCTGCTATAAGGTTTGGATAAGTAGAGGCACACTTGAGAGAGGAATGGGTATGATATTGCTACAGGTCGATGCGAATAGGGGTGCATGCGTGTGAGTGTGAGAGTGTAGGAGAGGAGGAAGAGATGAAGAAAGAAGACCAAACGACATTAATTCGCCACGGAGATCATGCACGCCTGAGATCCATCCGGTTGAAGGAAACGCAACAAAGAAAAGAGAAATAAGAAATACACGTAATTCCATTTACCAAGCCATAGCGCCTTCTAATTTCTCAAGCCCAGCAAGAGGCTAGTGCTCTTTCCGCCTTCCTTGCCATCGTTACCGGGCAGATACGTGACGTTGGGGTTGTTGGCGAGCGTCGTCGCGATCTCCTTGCTGGCGTCGATACGACGGATCTCAATCAGGCCACTGCCGGCCTTGGCAACGGCCTTGCTGATGATATCGGCACTCTCGGCTTCACCCTCGGCGCGGATGACATTGGCCTGACGTTCCTGCTCGGCTCTCTCGACGATGAAACGAGCCCGCTCGGCGTCCTGCTGGGCGATCTGCTTCTGCTCGACGGCGCGTGTGAATTCCTTTCCGAAGGTCATGTGGGTGATGGAGACGTCCTCAAGGGCGATGTTGAACTGAGAGGCTCTCTTCATGAGGTCTGTGCGGATACGGTTGGAGACAGCTTCACGCTGGGTGATCAGCTCGGCGGCATCGAACTGGGCGACAATGGCTTTGAGGACTTCGTTTCCGATAGACGGGAGCACACGCTCATCGTAGTCGATACCGTAGGACTATTCGGGAGGGTCATGGTTAGAGAGGTTGGTCTCAGTTGGGTGTAGAATGGTACACTGTATCTTACCTGGTAGATGGCCGGCAGCTTCGGGACCTCAGGACGGTGCAGCACACGCAGAGTCAAGCTGACCATCTGCAAGTCCTTACTACCCGTGGTGGTAGAGATGTTGCGGGGCTTGGTGCGAACATCGTAGATAATGGCTCGCTGCAACCAAGGGATGAGGAAGTGTGTACCCTCGTTCATGACCTTCTCCTGCACTCCGGACAATCGGTCGAAGATGACAGCGCGGGTACCACCGCGAACATCGTAAATGGAGGAGTTGAAGAGATAGACTCCGGCCGAGATGGGCACGGCGAGGCGGTAGACCTGTTGGAGGAGGGTAGACATGGTGATGGAGTGATGAGCGAGGGGACGGGGACTTCAGCAGCGACAGAGAAACGACCGTAATTATCAGGCGGGCGGGAGTTTGGCTGGAGATGATGTCGAGGCTTTTCGCATGCTGTCCCAAAACGGATTAGCGCTGGGCGGTGGTTTGAACTTCCAACTTCGACTTTCGTCCGTTTTGGTCCGATGGTCACCGACGACGACTTCTCTCTCTCTCCTCTCACGCTCCATCTCTCCCTCCCCACATCGCGCTTTACGTCGCTGATTTTCGTCGTATCTCTTCAAAATGGGTGGCCATCTCGATCCTAAGAATGGAGTGTGAGTTTTCTGCCCCATTGTCTCGTCTTGTCCGCTCCCTAGCTTTTCCGGGGGAAAGGGTACCGTGCGGTCTCGTCTGCCGTGATATCTACCCATGTTCCCTACATCAAATGACTTTGACTCATGTTGAGTCGTAGCTTATTGGCTAATTGTGATGGCTAACTTGTGATTCTTTTAGCTTCCTGGGCTGGTGGGGTGATCTGGGTATGTCTACAATATCAACGTAATTCGCCTGTCTGCGAAGCCTTTCGACTGTCAGCAATATCGGGCCATCGGGCTTGTTACTCGATTATAGCCCTGTACTGTCGACAAAATTCAGCTTCAATAACGACAGAATGCGCAATTGGACTTCGGAACCCCTGCTGACATGGCTTGTTTCTGCGCCATCTAGGATGCCCTACTCCCCAGCGTGTCACCTCCTACTCCATGTCCCCTAACCGCCAGCGCCCTCTTGCCGGTGCCGGTCACGCTGCCATCTTCAACGTTTTCCGCAGATTCAGACACCAGGTCCTCTACGTCGCTCCTCCCTTCATTGCCGCCTACGCCATCATGAACTGGGCTGTTGAGAGGTATGCCTCCCCCTTACGTGCGGACTTGAAGGCCAATAATACGCATGTTTCTGGTACAATTGGACATCCCAGAGCTGACGCTTGGACTTGCTTATAGGAACGAGTACCTCAACTCCAAGCCTGGCCGCCTCCTTGAGGGTGGTGACGAGTAAATGTAACGTGCCAGCTGGGAAAACCTTGAGAGAATAGGGATGGCATGGGGCAATATGGAAGGGCTGGATGTGTGATTGCACTGTACAGTAACTAGAAGCAATCGAATGTGTTGCAATGTTTTTGGCTGCCTTGACCGCGCGTGGGGTGCATCTGTAATCAAGAATGGGCGGCATCGTATAGGCCGGAGGGATTCCACACCCGCTTGAAGCCAACCCGTAGTGTAGTCTGCCAATCACCGGCGGCTATTGCTTGAGCCTTTTCAGCGCGGGAAGTATCCCACGCTTCTTGGAGCAGGTCAATTGGCCATGCGAATTTTCTCTGAATATTTGCGATGCCGAGTGAGTGCTGCCCGAATGCCCGAATGTGATGATTGTGGTACAAAATGAAGATGTTGAACTGCCTTGGCCGTGATACTAAAGTATCCTAAAGGACCACAATTGCCCCGACGATTGGATGGAGAATAATGCGCGTTGACCAATTGAGTTACGCAAGTATTTACTATCCATTAGGATTATCGTACAATTCTGATCAAGATAAGACAGAAAGAAAGACTCTTTTGAGGCAGGTTGAAGTGGATGCTATTACTCTTAAGTTACAGACACAAGGTCATACCATAACCAGCAATACGGCAACCAAACCCACTGGCCAGAAGATAAAATTACCGAAACGGGCGACAAAAGAGAGAAAACCCCACCTGAGTGGCCGCCATCGCCGGTGATAAATTACCACTGGTCAGCGGCCGTACATACAATTTTTCTGTTTCTGGTTTTCAACTTTTCCCCCACTCCGCATGCGTTCGTCTCTCGTCGCTTCTTTCCTTTCGCTTTCCTTCTCTCCTCCTTCCTCCTCTTCTCTCTCTTCCTCTTCTTCTCTTCTCTTCCGTCTCCCTTCAGCTGCTTCTTCGCTGTCTGCTCTCCGTCTTCGTCCTCGTCTTCTCCGTCCTTTTCACCACTCTATCACCATGAGCGACATCACTCACCCCACCATCAAGGGTATGTTAGTAGTAGTTCTTTACCTTATCCGCACCATCCAACCACCCCTCCATCATCACCTCGCGGTTTACCCCGCCTCCTGTTCTCTTCGCAATTCCCAAACCTACTCTTCAAATTCATTCAATGGATCAATTCCCGATTATGACGCTTCAATGAGCGCAATCTCGCCTCAAGACGATGTCATCTCACTACATACCCCTCCGACGAGAATTTATTACCCCTCCTCGCTAACATTGGCTCTTCGCTTTTTTCTACAGATGGCTGGTTCTCCGAGCAGTCTGACATGTGGCCCGGCCAGGCCATGAACCTCAAGGTTAACCAGATCCTCCACCACGAGAAGTCCAAGTACCAGGATGTTCTCGTTTTCGAGAGCAGCGACTACGGCACCGTCCTCGTCCTCGACAATGTCATCCAGTGCACTGAGCGCGATGAGTTCTCGTATGTTTTGGAACCCTTCTCATGAGCTACTTTCCATTTCCGAAAATACCATTGGCCCTAACATCATATGACTACAGCTACCAGGAGATGATCACCCACCTCGCCATGAACTCCCACCCCAACCCCAAGAAGGTCCTTGTCATCGGTGGTGGTGACGGTGGTGTCCTCCGTGAGGTCGTCAAGCACGAGACCGTCGAGGAGGCCACCCTGTGCGACATTGACGAGGTAAATCAATAGAAAATCCCCGCGTGCTTGTGCCGTGTGTGAGAATATGTGGCTCATGGTTTCTCAGGCTGTTATCCGTGTCTCCAAGAAGTACCTTCCTGGCATGAGCATTGGCTTCCAGCACCCCAACGTCAAGGTCCACGTTGGCGATGGTTTCCAGTTCCTTAAGGAGCGCCAGAACGAGTTCGATGTTATCATCACTGACAGCTCTGACCCCGAGGGTCCCGCTGAGAGCCTCTTCCAGAAGCCTTACTTCGAGCTTCTGCGCGATGCGCTCCGTGAGGGAGGTGTCATCACCACACAAGGTTGTTCGTCGCCTTTCATTAGTCCCTTCTTGCCCTTTCTATCCCACTTCTTTCTCCCCTTCTTAACTTCTCTCTATCTCTCTCAAACTTTTCATGTTGTTTGTGTTTTCTGTGTTGTCTGTATTTTCTCGTCGCGAACTATGAAGCTAACCTTGTTACGCCCCAAACCACCCGACCCCTAACCCGGGATCGGTTTGGGTTCGTGTTTTCTACCCATACAGCCGAGAACCAATGGCTGCACCTGTCTCTGATCACCGACCTCAAGAAGTCCTGCAAGGAGGTCTTCCCCGTCGCCGAATACGCCTACACCACCATCCCCACCTACCCCTCCGGCCAGATCGGCTTCATGGTCTGCTGCAAGGATGCCACCCGTAACGTCAAGGAGCCCGTTCGCAGCTGGACCCGCGAGGAGGAGGAGAAGCTCTGCCGCTACTACAACCAGGACATCCACCGCGCCAGCTTCGTTCTCCCCAACTTCGCCCGCAAGGCTCTGGACGCTTAGACTATCTGAAGTTTTATCGTTCTAATACTTTGGGTGGTGGCCTCCTCCGTTTCGAGGCCCCACGGCGGCTGATAATCGATGATGATCTGACGATGACGAATATAACAAAAGATTTCTGCTGCTTCCTCAATAATATTCCCCCGATGCTTCACATGGATTGACACGTGAGATGCAAGGATTTACTAAGATATAATACTAGCCAATATCCGCTTTGGGAAAAGTGGACACTATATGACTACGTCGTAATCCAACCGTATATGTACGCGCTTAGTTCGGTGTTGCTGCCGGTGAAGCTTGTCCAAGTCCACTTGAAAGCCAAAACTGGTGCTAGTATACTCCCATCATAGACCAATTCCCCTCTAAATCTACCCTAGGAAAAATAAAACTATCATAAACCAAGAAATTGAATAAGAAAGGTTGCATATATTTTTATCTTCAAAGAAAAAGTCGTTAAAAATTAGGACTTCTCCCAGGGGTATCATCGCCCACAGGGATCAACATCGTCCCGGATACTCATAAACATGATTCAGTACAAACCATCACGATGCCACCGCAAGACATTTACAGAATCTGCTGGAAAGCACGGTTGATGGGAGAGCGCACGGTGTGGCCCTTGTAGAAGTCAATGGTGGCGACAGCGCGCTTGCTGATGCCCTCAGGAGTGAACTCGAATTTCTGTTGTATAATGAATTAGTATATGCCGTTATCAAGGGGGGAGGGGGGATATGTATTTTGGAGCTTACCTTGTAGACATCCTTGTAGGGGCCAGAGGCACCGAAGCGGTTGAGACCGAACTGCTCGTGAGCGTAGCGCTCCCAGCCCATGGTGGTGAGAGCCTCGACGGAGAGGACGGGGATGTTGTCGGGGAGGACCTGGAGCTTGTAGGCCTTGTCCTGGGCATCGAAGACCTCGAAGCAAGGAACGGAGACGACGCGGGCAGCAATGCCGTGCTTCTCCTTGAGGTAGGTGGCAGCCTCGATACAGATGCTGACCTCGGAACCGGTGGAGATGAGGGTGACGGCAGCGTCGGGGGCCTCGAGGGCGACGTAGGCACCCTTGAGGGCCTTCTCGATGGTGGAAGCCTCGAGCTGGGGCAGGTTCTGACGGGTGAGGGCCAGAATGCTGGGGGTGTGCTTGGAGGTCAGAGCAGAGTAGTAGGCAGCGCTGGTCTCGTTGCCGTCAGCAGGGCGCCAGACCATGCAGTTGGGCAGAGCACGGAAGTGAGCCAGAGTTTCAATAGGCTGGTGGGTAGGACCGTCCTCACCCAGACCGATGGAGTCGTGGGTGGCAACGTAGATGGTGCGGACACGGGAGAGGGCCGACAGACGGACGGCACCGGCCGCGTAGGAGACGAAGTTCAGGAAGGTACCACCAGCGGGGATGACGGTACCGTAGGCGGCGAGACCGTTCATGACGGCGGCCATGGCGTGCTCACGGACACCGTAGCGGAGGTAGCGACCGGACCAGTCACCGATGTTGTACTCGGGGGGCTGGAAGTCGACGGCGTTCTTCCAGCGGGTGTTGTTGGAGCCAGTCAAGTCGGCAGAGCCGGACAGAAGCTCGGGAACGACATCGTGGATCTTCTCGAGGACAGCCTCGGAGAGCTTACGGGTAGCAACGGCAGCGTCGGTGGGCTTGTAGACGGGCAGGCTCTTCTCCCAGCCCTCGGCAAGCTTGCCGGAGAGACGGCGGGTGAGCTCGGCGTGCTCCTTGGGGTACTCAGAAGCGTACTTCTGGAGGAGCTGGTTCCACTCCTGCTCCTTAGCAGCACCCTCAGCGGCGTGCTTGTGGTAGAGGTCGTAGACCTGCTGGGGAACGACGAAGGTCTGCTTGGGGTCGAAGCCGAAGAGCTGCTTGACACCCTCGCAGTCGTCAGCCTTCAGGGGGTTACCGTGGACACCGCCAGTACCCTGGAGCTTGGAACCGAAACCGATGGTAGTAGTCAGACGGATGACGGAGGGCTTGTCAGTGACAGCCTGGCACTTCTTGATGGCGGCCTCAATGCCCTCAAGGTCGTTGTCACCGTCCTTGACGTACTCGGTGTGCCAGCCGTAGGCCTCGAAACGCTTCATAACATCCTCAGTGAAGGCGCACTTGGTGTCACCGTCTGCAAAACAAAACCGAATTAGTATGGTTGTAATTCTGAGGGGGATTAGGGTGTTGAATGAAGCTTACCGATGGAGATTCCGTTGTCGTCGTAGATAGCAATGAGGTTACCGAGCTTCAGGTGACCAGCCATGGAGGCGGCCTCGCTGGCAATACCCTCCATGGCGCAGCCATCACCGAAGAAGCAGTATGTGTAGTTATTGAAGAGGGTGTAGCCGGGCTTGTTGAAGACGGCAGCGGAGTGACGCTCAGCAATGGCAAGACCAACGGCGTTGGCGAAACCCTGACCCAGAGGACCAGTGGTGACCTCGACACCGGGGGTGTCGTGAGCCTCGGGGTGACCGGGGGTGATGCTGTCGAGTTGCTACACAAGCAGAATGGTTAGGACATGACTACAATTGGGCCCCCAGAAAGAACTCTCGGCGGATACATACTCTGAAGGACTTCAGGTCATCCATGGAGACCTGGTAGCCGAAGAGGTGAAGGAGAGCATATTGGAGCATGCAGCCGTGGCCGTTGCTGTGAAGGAATTAATAAAGCGATTACTTGGACAGTACTGGGTGCAGGTCGGAACTTACGAGAGAACGAAGCGGTCACGGTTAGCCCAGTCGGGATTTTGGGGGTTGAAGCTCATGAACTTGTTGAAGAGGACGTGGGACACGGGGGCCATGCCCATAGGGGCACCGGGGTGACCGGAGTTGGCCTTGAAGGTGGCATCCACCTAGGGGACTATTAGTTTCAAATTTGACTCTTATCAATAATTCCTTGGAAGGAATGACCACTCCGCAAGCCATGGCTAGTAAAACAAGGAGCTCCGAGGAGATAGCAGCTACACATAGCTAATCATCAACGCGGGAGGCTGTGCTCCGCGGAGTCCCTGTGATACCAGGAATGGGCTTCCGGTGCCGGAGCTCTGGAGAAGCTCTCCGTCACACCGGAATCGGATGGGAGTGGGATAAGGAAGCAAGAGAATGGAAGCAGGAGATGCATACCGCGAGAGTGCGGATGGTGTTGATGGCCAATTGGTCAACGTCGTTGTAACCCATGATTGCTGTGTCTAGAAGAGAAGGAGGGAAAGGTTAGAGAGGGAGGTTGAATGGGGGAAAGTTGAAAGTTGTTGGGGAAGAAATGAGGGGAGGGGCCATACTATTTAAATCCTACCAAGTTCTTGTTTTTTTTAAGTAGCGGGATGATCCAACAAACAATCAACACAAATGGGAAGACCACCACAAGATGAAGAAAGGGAGAAAGATGACTGAGAGAGGAGAAGAAGAAGAAGAAGAGAAAGAAGGAAGAAGAGAGAAGGAGAAATGATGACAGGGAAGGGGGAGGGGGGGGGAAAGCGAGCCAGACGAGCGGAGTGGGATGGAGGGCAACCGCGACCAAGAGAGCCAGCGAGGGTGAGAAAGGGAAGGTGGGGGGGCAATGATGTCTGTGGTGGGGCACCTCTCTTTCACCGGCTGCTCGGAGGGGGTTACAAACTCGCTGTCCACGGCTATTCTTTTCTACTCTCTTCGGACTCGGGGTCGGCTATTGCTAGGCAATTGATTGATCTTGGACAGTAGATAACTGGATCTACAGCCGGAGAATGTAACGGAGATGATGTTCGTATGGGGGGGTGTTTAGGGTGAAGCTGTCGAGGTCCTCAAGGTAGTAGGTATACTTGATTGATGATTGATGATGATGTTATGCACAATCTGCCCCTCCCCCGCTGCCTCAGGCAATAGGCGGTCCCTCCGGAATTCAATGCAACCTTTTTTTTCAGCTCTCAACAAAAGTAACTGTAGAGCTACAGAGAACAATTTTGATATGATCATCTCATCTGTACTAGACTAGTAAAATGATGAAGAATAGCAAGAGCTCGCTTCTGTTCACCATCATCTGACGGCAGAGAGAAGTCTGGAAGTATCCCTCCGAAACGCCACCAGGACAGCTCCCCCCTCCAACATTACATACTTGCTCGATAATTGCAGGGACAAGAGTTGCATTGCTCCTCCCCTCGACCAATTGTCTACCATTAAGCCCTGTAACCTGTCATATCGAAACACGCAGATCTCTGAGTTGGCCCTAACAACTCTCAGATAACATAACTACTCAACCTCTTACAAAATGCTCTTCACCCCGCCGGCCATTGACACTCTACTTACTGAGTTTCTATAGCAATAATCACCCACCCACCACCATATTATTTCCCGGGCTAGAAATCAAATACCTACTACCTATAGGCGGATTCCTCCCCAACATAGCAATTCTCCGGGAGCATTATTCATTCAAATGAGCAGCCCCATTAGTCACCCCGTGTGTTTCTGTCTGCTGGGTCCCGGAGGACGCTGCTCCGCCAACGGGGTACCTTAGCAAGTCACTATCTCTCCGCTTTTTCCTTTCCCACGCTTTTACACGGAGTCCGGATTCCAGCCCAGTCTCCATCAATAATCATAACCACAACAACAACAACCACATTGTAGACTACTATCGAGTCTAGCTTTCGGAGCACATATCTCCTAAATAAATATTCAGCAGGTCAAGTGATTTGATTATGAAGCAGGAACACGCGGCAATTGTCGGTCACGCATCGCAGCAGAATTTTTCCCTCTCATTGCTTTGCTTCCGGAGGTTTGCATTTCCGATGCTTTCCATCCAGGGCAAGACAGGTCGGTACTTAGGTGTGTACCGTGAAAGAAGACATAGCGATGGCTGCCCAGTCCATTGTACCAAGTACTTGGTAGGTAGCTAGTTGGAGGAGGCCCTCGTCAATCCTTGTCGCAACTAGAAAATCATCTCATGCAGCTAGAGTTGTGCAGTCGCCGACTGAAACGTTGTTATTTCCGGGTTACTTAGTAGCTATCCAAGTAGGTAGGTACTAACTAGTTAGCTTGCAAGGTTCATTCTGGGCCGCTCAGATCGAACGGCTTCCCCGATTAGTCCAATCCGTGTGCCGTTCGGGGAATGCGCCCGGGACTCTCTGCCTCTGATTGATGCTCGGACCGGGGATGGTGGGAGGGCCTGTGAGACGCATGTGTAAATACTTAGTAGTGGTAGGCTCGCTCTGCTCGGTCGTTTGCAGTCAGATGCGTTTGGTGAAAAGTATGCAGGTA